ACCTCTTGCTCGTTCACGTGGGGCATCACGGCGCTCCACACGCACCCCCATTAGTTCCAGTCCTTCGTTTTCTCGCCCGATCCGTCGACCCCCCAAACGCTCCCGCGAACCACGGGCACCCCTTGCAGGACTCCCAAGACCCATTGGGAGGCATCAGGCATGGGGAGCCCACGAACAACCTGATCGAGGGACATCAGACCGCGGAACCAACGGGAGGGAAGGCGGTCGCTCTCTGGGGTCGCAACCGGGGTGGGACTAGCAGTGGCCTGCACGGCCGAGGAGCCGAGCTGGTCATTGCATGGACACTCCCAAAAGTGGTGCAACGGGGTCTCGTTGGCCAGGCCGCACCGCTGGCACAGTTGGTTGGAGGCATAGCCTGCCTCGAATAGGCGGCCCTCCGCCCGGAAACCTCAAGTCGAAGCATTACGCAACATCGCTTGGGATTCATAATCCAGATCACGGCCAAACTTATTCAGTAGCTTTTTGGGCACAGTCATGTCCACGCCCAACTCGATTTTCCCCCAGGTAATGCTGAGCAGCTTTGTCCTAACCCTATTCAGCACACGTAACCTTGATCGCCCGCCACAAGAGGAACCGAATGTCGCGTTCACCGAGGACGGGGAAAATCGTATTCGTCAGGCCAGAGTTTTGGGGAAGTGGGAATCCATCGTTGGTCAAACAGGACCGCCACCGTTTCGAGGGCGGGGTCGCGCACCCGCCGCCACCTGCAGTTCGCGGGGGTCAGCAGAAAAGATCGACAGCGGAGGCCCAGGCTTCCGAAACTCGCATCAGCAGCCTGAAGTCCGATCCAGGGATCGTGAAAGGAGGTGAGGTGCTCAAACCTCATGCGAAGCACAGAGCCCTCCTTCGCGCTGCAAATCAGCGAGGGGACCGCGGTGAAACAGGCCCCAAGGGTCCACCGCCCAGAGCACAGGGCTGCTTGGCCTCGAAACATGTGAGCGCGGCGGGGCGAGAGCCCCACAAGCTGGTGGCACCGCGACCCAACCTCGAGGGCCCCAGGTTTCGGAGGCTCTCTCTCTCTCTCTCTCTATCTCTCTCTCTCTCTCTCTCTCTCTCTCTCTCAAATATATATATATATATATATGTATATATATATATGTATTGCGGAAGTGGCCGGCTTTAGCAGCCCTCCGACGAGCCTCGGGCTTCCGTCGACGAACCTCATGGACCCCCCCGCCGACCTCCAGCCGCGGTGCAAGACCCCGCATCCCGAACAGCATCCTTTTCGACGGAAAGCCCCGCAGCCTGAAGGTCGGAGACGGGCGGGGCCCCCATCGCCTTAGAGGAAGAGACTAGGGCACTCGTGTCATTGATGAGGAGCCCGAGCTTCTCGACCTCGTGGCCAAACCGAACGGCAGCCGGTCAAGCATGCGCTAGGGGATCGATCTCTTCGCCCTACATGTTGTGAAACACTTCAGTCGCGTGCGCTCTGGTAACCACCTTGGACGCTTCCCCGCTGAGAGAGCATTGATAGGCCCCCAGGGCCTCGCACACATAGATGTTCGACCTGGGCATGCTCTGGGAGCACCCAGGGAGGACACCCCGACCAATAGAACTCACCCTGGACGTGGCCCCGTCGACCTCCAACATCTTGGAAAAGACGTGAGTAAACATTCCAAATGCAGCAATTGCGGGGGGCAGTCCTTTCACATGGCCAGACGGATCAACTTCCATGGGCCCAACGTGTGTTTGTTCAAATCCTAATGCAACGCGACAGACACGTTGCCTTCTCGCGCAGCGAACTCATGCACCAGCTCTCGTGTCACCGTTGCTTTCAACGCCGAAGGCCCCTTAACGGCTGCGCCCCAAAACGCAGTGCGCTCCGACGCCCACCGGTCGACGTCGCGGCCTCGCGCCTTAGCGCGCAGCCAATGAAGGGGCGGGCATTTGCAGACAGGACCCCCGTCAGTGGCGCCATTCGGGAGAAGGCGCAATCAAACCGAGCAGGAGCTGGGCAGGCCATGCCATCTGACGCTCGCGCCGAGCGTAGATGGAGACAAGCCCCTCAAGCGCCGACGCTGGCGAGTCTAAAATCGCTCGAGGCCCCCGCCCGTCGGCCCCGGCAGCGGCCCCGCGGGGAAAACAGGACCGGCTTGCGACCCCTCAACTTCGAGGGCGGGGGGGCCTTCCCGAAGCAGCCGCGCGGAGGTCAGACGACGCGGCATCGCGCAATCCCAGGCTTTCGTCGGGCGCCCCCCCCCCTTCAAAAAAAGAAAGAACAAACAATGGGCCCTGAACCCCGTCGTTCTTCAGGGGGCTGCAGCGCCTCGCGATGGGGGGGGGGGGGCTCAGCGGTAGTTTTAGCATCCTTCTTCAGCCGCGAGTCGGCCCCCTTCGCTCCACATTGAATGGCTTTGGCCAGCCATTTCTCGAGGCCATGCCTGGCCTCGCCCATAGATGTGCGCCAAGCGCGCTTAGGAACCTCGGGGGCGGCCTGGGGAAATTAGATCGGCGGCCAGATTGGCCCGCGATGGGGGGCGGGGGGGGGGGGGGCGAGCAAGCGGCAGCTCACTTGGGGAGTTGGAAATGCTGGGGGCCCAGTCCACCCCCAGCCTTTGCGCGCGCTACTCGGCGGCCCTGGCGCGATTCAGGCCAGTCCGCAATTCGAACAGCTCGGCGGACACATTGGGCCAGAAGGCCAGCGAGGGATTCCGATGCGCAGCGCCCAACTCCCCATCGATGAGCCACGGTGGCAGCGCGTGACTTCACGTCGCAGCGACTGCGCGCGATAGAACGAGCGACTCAGTGGCGTTGGACCAGATGACATATTGCACATTGGCATACGGATCGAGGTGCTCAGCCGCGCGAGGTAACAAAAGTTCCAGCAGCACAGGGCACTGCTCGATCCCACATGCATCACCATTCATCATTTTGAACAGATGTCGTTCCCGAGGAGTGCATGGGGACGGCCCCGCTTGTACAGTTTTGGGACCACCGCCCAATGCTTCGCGTGAGCGTCCAACATCCGATGCGTTTTGAGGGGTAACGGCTCAAACGTGCTGACCTGGACGAACGGGGCGCTCTTGCGAGACCAACGCATAGCCAATGAGTGAGCCCGACCCTTGCGCGCACGTAGTATCGGCCCCAACCGGTTTTCATCGCTCGGGCCTGCAGCGACTGTGGATGCCCAGAGAATAGCGTAGTATCCGCTTCAAGAAGTCACCAATGAACATCCAAGGAACCCACCAGAACTGAACAAGCTCGGCGATGCCCCGCATTCAATGCTAGTTACCCCCTGCGACCCCAAGACAGGAAACACAGTGGCACACACAGATGACCACCACAGCCTTCTTTTTGTAAGATCGAGGAATAGCCAGCCTGGACCCGAACCGATGCCACGAAATTCTTTATCTTGTGCCAGATCCCTTATAAACAAAGCTCTCACGCACAACCATTCCCACGCCCCCGTGGGCACCGCCCCCCCCGTCGGAATGCCAGCTTGGAAGTGCGGGCGCCAGCCGTGGCTGCGCACTCTCTCTTGTCCGCGGGAAACACATGGTCCTTCAACCTGCATCTGCAACGCAGGAAGGCATCAGCACGCAAACTGACCTCAGAGGTGAAATCTTTGGCGGCCTTCGTCCAGGACGTGATGTTGCAGAACACAAGCTTCGCGCCGTCGGGCTGCTTCGACGCTGCGCCCATCTGCGAGAAACCCACTCTGTCAAACACGCTGCCCTCCAGCAGGGACCGACACGGCCTGCTTGAGGATCTCCTTGAACTGGGCGTTGATTTTCTCCTCGGCAGTGCGCATACGCTCGTGGGACTTGGCCTTGGTGAGCTTGACCACGAGCTCCTCCAACCGCTCATGCTTCTCATTGGACAGCACAGCGCATGTCGTGGAGGAGGAGGAGGAGGAGGAGAAGGCGGAGGAGTGCACTCAGGGCCCAATAGGGCAAACAAGCTAAGGTCTCTGCAGGGCCCGAGTGACCCAACAATGAAGAAAAACGCGGACGAACCCCGATCCTCGACCCTCGTTCCCCGTAGTTGAATCCGAAAGCGGCCCCTGGAGGCCGAAGCTCAGGAAGAGCGTCGGATTGAAAAACAGCAGTCCGCTGGCGGGACCGCGTCGTTTCACGCGCCTGCCCTCGGAGAGGTCCGCCCTGTCGGGGCTGGAGTGCGGGCCGCGTCGCATCGCACCGTAGTCCGCCAGCACTCAGAGAAACGGTTCTTTAAGTAGAAGAAGAAGAAGGATAATAAGAAGAAGACACGGCAGCCTGTTATATTCATGTCGTCTTTTTGGGTCTACCATTCGCATCGCGACTTTCTGAGCAGTGCAGTGTTATTAGCTGTCCTCTTTTTCTAGCATCGAAATAAGACTCGGATTATAATTATTCTGGATGTCAGGCCTCTTCAGGGCTACTGGAGACCAGTCTCCCGGTCGCTATGCCAAACCGTTGGGGCTAGGGCCACTGGAGGGCACGAGTGGGAATCTGACAATCAGGAACGGGGTATAAAACAAACAGCGAAAACCCAGTCCTCTCGTGCCTCGTGGATTGGGTCCTTCGCCTCCCGCCCCAAGGGTGTCTCCGGTTAGGTCGGTTCGGCTGTGTCGCAGTGTGGTCCGTTCGGCGCGCTGCTGCGCTCTCCCAGGCTGCCTTCGGGGCTCGTCGGTTTCGCTGTCGGAACGGTGGGTTTTCTACTTTGGTGTCGCAGTGGGCGTCAGTGGTCCTTCGCCCCCAGGGGTCGTGCCAGAGAGGGCGGCCTCTAACAAGGGGGGGCTTTGTGGAAGGCTGGGGTCTTCTGAGAAGGCCGCCCCCCTTGCATCCCCCCATTGTTCGCGCCGCCAACTCTTGGCCCTTCACCTCCGAGGCGAATGAGGGGATGGAGAAAAGATGCTGGAGGAGTAGGAGGAGGAAGGGGAGGAGGAGGAGGAGGAGGACGAGGACGAGGACGAGGACGAGTTGGATGGGGTGGGGGGGAGGAAGAGGTGGAGGACGGCGAAATGGGAAATGGGTCCATCGCACCCCCCCTGTCGCCAGGACGACGAGGAGGGCGCCGCCGAAGAGGAGGAGTGAGGCGCCGCGCGCGCAGCAGCAGAGGGCTCAGCCCCGCGGATGGCAGAGGCAGCGCGGGCGTCTCGGAAACCGGCGGCGGTTGGGGTGTGGAGGGGGGGATCGACCTGATGGTGGAAGAGTCCTTCACCATCGGGCCGATCTCCCCTCGGTCCTAGCGTTGGGGGAGTGCCTGTGCGTGAAAGACACGGAGGAGGCCGAGACCGAAGGCGACAGCGCCTCCGTCTGGGATGCGGATTGGGGCTAGACATGCCCGAATGCGGCTTTAGGCCGCTGTCCTGCCCACCTACCTCCTCCTTCATCCCCCTCCCTTCTTCACCCTTCCTTTCCCTCTCCCCCTGCTCTTCGCCCTCCTCTTCCTCCTCCCTCCTCGTTTTTACAATTACTCAATATGAATATACTCTCCCTCTTCCCCTGATGGCGTCCGGGTGATGGCCGCGCACCCTCCGCGTATTGTTTTTTTACACAGGATGCCCGGGAAATCCCGGGAAACGACTCGCTGAGGCGCCGGCGCCATTTTTTCCCAAAATGCTGCTCTCGTTGAGGCGCTGGCCTCATTTCTGCTCCCGAATCGTTCCGAATCGTGCTCCCGCTGCAGCGTGGGCCTCATTTTCGGATCGGTGTTTGGCCTCCGTCGTTCAGGATGGCGTTCTCGCCCCAGCGCGGGCCTTTTTCTCGCGCGCCCATCCGCCCGCCACCACCGCGCCGCACCGCCACCACCACCACCACCACCACCACCACCAACCACCACCAGCACCAGCACCAGTACCAACACCACCACCAGCACCACCACCACCACCAGCACCACCACCACCACCATCACCACCATCACCACCACCACTACCACCACCACCACCACCACCACCACGACAACCACGCACACACGCACGCACGCACGCACGCACGCACGCACGTGCACCACCACCCAGTACGCACGCGCGCGCGGAGCCACAGGTCCGCTACGACACGCGTCCGCGGATAGAGAAAATCAGCGCCATGGTAAGGGATGGGAGGGAGGGGTAGGACGTCAGATATGACGCGAGCGCACCTAGCTTGTTCTTTTTCCGTTCTCCTCCCCTCCTCCTCCTCCCTCCTCCTCCTCCTCCTCTTCCGCCCTCCTTTCCTCTTCCGCCCCTCATTCTCCTCTCCTCTCCTCCTCTGTCCTCCTCTCCTCCTCCTCCCTCCTCCCTCTCCTCCTCCTCCTCGGATCCTCATCATCATCATATTGCTCCTCCTCTTCCTCCTCCTCCTCCTCCTCCTCATCCTCCTCCTTTTCCTCCTCCTCCTCCTTCCCTTTCTCCTCCGCCTTCTCTTCCTCATTCTCGTCGAGGCTCCTCCTCCTCCTCCTCCTCCTCCTCCCCCTCCTCTTCCACCATTACTCAATATGATTACTACTCTCCCTCTTCCCATGATGACGGCGTGGGAGTATCCAACCCCTTCCCCGCGTACTGGTTTTTACCTAACAGCGAAGATTGATAGGTTTCTAGTGGTGTCAAAAGAAAGCATATGATGTCTCAGAAGGGAGGTCTGGGCGGCATCCGGACAGCGAGGGCCAGGCTCAGGGCCCGGCTCGCTTTAAGCAAACAGTCGCACACTTCGTGCTCTTCGACCTCCCAGAACTCCATTCCCGGGCCACATTTTGAATGCCCGGAGCCAACTGTAGGCCACTTCGTGCTCTTCGACTTCCCAGAACTCCATTCCCGGGCCACATTTTGGATGCCCGGAGCCAACTGTAGGCCACCTCGTGCTCTTCGACTTCCCAGAACTCCATTCCCGGGCCACATTTTGGATGCCCGGAGCCAACTGTAAGCCACTTTGTGCTCTTCGACTTCCCAGAACTCCATTCCCGGGCCATATTTTGAATGCCCGGAGCCAACTGTAGGTCACTTCGTGCTCTTCCATTTCCCAGAACTCCACTCCCGGGCCACATTTTGAATGCCCGGAGCCAACGTTACGCCACTTCGTGCTCTTCGACTTCCCAAACTTCAAGACTCATCATCTTCATCATCATCATCGTCCCCGTAGCCTTCTTGGCTACAGCCCTGCTTTCGAAGATTTCTTTTCAAAAGGAACTGCGCAGCGCCTACTGCGCACCTTAATGCCAGGACATGCTGATAGTTCTCGGTCTGGCGGCGGTGCTCCTGACCCTGCTGCATTGAACAGCGGTGCTCCTCAGCCTGCGGCAGGGAACAGCGCTGCTCCTCAGCGTGCTGCATTGAGCGGTCCTCTGCAAACGCTCGTCGAGCACGTGAAGCAGTTCGGCCGGATACCGAAACGAAATAAAGGAACGTCCGAGCAAGAACGGGCCGAAAACAAGTTGGCCAAACGTTTCTCGGACCATCGCGACCGCATCCCCGAAGACATTTTGCATGCAAGTGTGTCGTTCGAGGCTAAACCCGTTGATAGCAGCGTCTCGTTTGGAATCACATCCGTTGATCGCAGTGTCTTGTTTAGACCTCAGTGCATTTATACAAAGATCTCATTTGGAGATACCGTTATCGAAAGCAGCGTTTGTACTGCTACTACCACTGCTCCCATCACTCCTACTCGTTCACTCCACACACTACAAGTACTACTTCACTGTTACCACTACTACCATCACTACTACTTCTACTGCTACTACTACTGTTACTATTACTGATGCTGCTGCTGCTGTTGCTGCTGCTAGTGTAGCTATTGCTACTGCAACTACTGGCGGTGCCATTGCGACTGCCGCTGACGTTGCCACTGCGACTGCCACTGCGAATCCGAATGCGACTGCGAAAACACCAGAACTCTACAACAGCACTCTTACATGAATACCACAGGCAATGTTTCCAGCTATGGTTCTACACATCGCTGTTAGGTTGCTTTGCCGAGACAATTACCTAACAGCGAAGACTGGTAGGTTTCTAGTGGTGTCAAAAGAGAGCATCTGATGACTCAGACGGGAGGTCTGGGCGGCATCCGGACAGCGAGGGCCGGGCTCAGGGCCGGGCTCGCTTTAAGCAAACAGTCGCACACTTCGTGCTCTTCGACCTCCCAGAACTCCACTCCCGGGCCACATTTTGAATGCCCTGAGCCAACTGTAGGCCACTTCGTGCTCTTCGACTTCCCAGAACTCCATTCCCGGGCCACATTTTGGATGCCCGGAGCCAACTGTAAGCCACTTTGTGCTCTTCGACTTCCCAGAACTCCATTCCCGGGCCATATTTTGAATGCCCGAAGCCAACTGTAGGTCACTTCGTGCTCTTCCACTTCCCAGAACTTCACTCCCGGGCCACATTTTGAATGCCCGGAGCCAACGTTACGCCATTTCGTGTTTTTCGTGTTCCCAGAACACCATTCTTGGGCATGATTTTGAATGCCCGGAGCCAAGTGTAGGCCACTTCGTGTTCTTCGCGTTCCCAGAACACCATTCCCGGGCCACATTTTGAATGCTGAGGCAGGCTGAGGCTGAGGCAGGCAGGCTGAGGCCGAGGCTGAAGGCATACTGAAACTGAGCCTGCGGCTGAGGCAGGCTGAGGCTGAGGCTGAGGCTGAGGCAGGCTGATGCTGAGGCAGGCTGAGGCTGAGGCTGAGGCTGATGCAGGCTGAGGCTGAAGCAGACTGAGGCTGAGGCTGAAGCAGGCTGAGGCTGAGGAGGCGAGGCTGAGGTGAGGCTGAGGCTGAGGCAGGCGAGGCAGGCTGATGCTGAGGCAGGCTAGTTCCCAGAAACTCCATTCCAGGCCACATTTTGAATGCTGAGGCAGGCTGATGCTGAGGCTGAGGCAGGCTGAGGCTGAGGCAGGCTGAGGCTGAGGCCGAGGCTGAAGGCAGACTGAGGCTGAGGCTGAAGCGACTGAGGCTGAGACTGAGGCAGGCTGAGGCTGAGGCTGAGGCAGGCTGATGCTGAGGCAGGCTGAGGCTGAGGCTGAGGCTGATGCAGGCTGAGGCTGAGGCAGGCTGAGGCTGAGGCCGAGGCTGAAGGCAGGCTGAGGCTGAGGCTGAAGCAGGCTGAGGAGGAGGCTGAAGGCTGAGGCTGAGGCTGAAGCAGGCTGAGGCTGAGGCTGAGGCAGGCTGAGGCTGAGGCAGGCTGAGCCTGAGGCTGGTGAGGCTGAGGCAGGCTGATGAGATGGAGGGGGGTTTAGGGTTTAGGGTTTAGGGTTTAGGGTTTAGGGTTTAGGGCCTGCATGGGCGCATGCGCGCGCTGGCTGCGATCCCCCCACATCAAGGTTGTTGGGGGGGATCGCTGCCCAAGCCGCGCGCGCTATGAACTTGCACTCCCGCCCCAGACCACCCACAGTAAAGCCCTTTAGGGTTTAGGGTTTCTCCCCCCAACCCCCCTATCACGGGGGGCTTTCGTGTTGTGTGCGAATGCGAGCATTCCGCGGGGAGCACGACAACGCGGTTTTGGCATTGCGTTCTTGGTACGCGCGCAAAGCGCTTTGCGCAGGCGCAAGAGCCAGCGTCGTCGCATGGCCAACAATCTTTGCCGTGGGTTTAGCTGCATTCGGCTGGCTCCCAGTTGGCGCATGGCTTTGCCGAAGGACGGATTCTTCTCCTGCGGGTGTGCATTGCAATCAGAAGGCAGGAGAGGCCTCAAGGCCAGGCGTCGCCGCATGAGGTTTTGAGTTACGGCGTTGGCCTGTCGCAGACGCAGCATTGCCCCTGGTTCCAGTAGGCCCTTGGCTTTTGCCGTTGGCCTGGCTGCCCCTGCAGCCGCCGTCGTAGACGGCTGCTGCTGGCGCAGCAGATCCACAGGGGTCCGCATTTGCCTTCGGCGTTGGAAAGCAGCACTGCGAGGGCGCTGGCGCGGCAATCCCATGGGCCCCCGTGGGCCTCGAGCGAGTAGCCGCGCCGTCGGGCTCCTCGCTGAAGGCGACGCGCGCGGCAGTTGTATTCGCCCGCGGCTTTGGGTTTTGCTTTGAGGTCGCCCGCGCTGAAGCGATTGCAATCATCGACGCAGACGCTGTCGACGCGAGCTTCGGAAGGCGGGGGGAGGAGCGCGAGGGGGTGGGTCTGGCACCCCCTCGCTACGATGCGCGCGCATGGCTGCGGCAGCACGTCCATCGCAGACCCCCTGGAATGCCTTGGGGGAGCTCCCTGG